TCGTCACGACGCGCAGCATCGCGGCCGGCGAGGAGCTTACCATCGCGTATCTCCCTCAGCTCTACTGGCCGGCGCCGCTGCGGCGCGAGGAGCTCGCCGGGCGGTACTTCTTCCAGTGTCGCTGTGCGCGTTGCTGCAGCAGCGAGAGCGGCAATAACGGCAGTGACGACCCGTTTGAGGCGGCGCTAACGGCAGCGCTGCGGCAGGACTGCAGTGCGGAGGCGGAGCGCAAGCACATTGCGGAGGTGCAGCTGCTCTGCAGTCGCATTCGGGGGAAGGACGTGTGTGAAGTAAACAGGGGCGACAGGGACGCGCTGCTGCGCCTCCTGGAGGCGTGTCGCCAGGACCTCTTCCCCTTTCACTACCTCTGCCACGAGCTGCGCAACACACTGAGCTTCGTGTACGCGGTGCTGGACGACACCGCCGCCTGCCTGCGCAGCTGCCTCGACGAGCTGCTGCTGTGGGAGGNCACTGAGCTTCGTGTACGCGGTGCTGGACGACACCGCCGCCTGCCTGCGCAGCTGCCTCGACGAGCTGCTGCTGTGGGAGGCAATTGTGCCGGGTGGCCACCCAGTGAAGCGGCTGAAGGTGCACAACGCGATGCGCTGCTCCCTGGATAACAAGGGCGGCAACAGCAACAGCGGTGACGGCGCGAGCCCGCCGCTGCTTCTGCCACTCCTCGAGAAGTTTGCCGCGTTGTACGATGTCAGCTTCTGAGCGGAGGGAGCGGGCGGAGGACTCTGTGTGTGTGTGTGTGTGTGTGTATGTGTGTCGGAGGGTGAGGGTGAGGCAGCGCACTAAACTCGCGTGTAATATTGAACAATATTTCCCCATTCATTCACCCCACTTGTATTCTTATTGAAGTTACTCGCAACCACAGCCTGTTTTTTATTTACATGTGGCACTGCCTTCTTCTCAATCTCTCTCTCTCTCTGTCTCTCCGTCGCTCTGTCTCTGATGGGCACACGAACATAATGGATAAGTACGAGCGGGAATATGCCAGAGCAGCAGCAGCAGGGTGGCGTGGTGGTCCACTCGCTTCCCATCAAGACGACATTCCGCGGCACGACCGACATTGATGCGAACTTCACGCAGCACACCGTTCGGGACGAGAGTGGCGAGCTCCACAACACGCTTCGGGGCCGCACATTGATCGGGCGTGAGGTCGTGCTGCCGCCGACGTACGCACTAGTGTGTGCGTCTCTTGCGAAGCGCCAGCAGACACAGGGCGCGGCTGGACAGTCAGTTGCGGCGCTGGTGCAGGTGGAGGCGACGGCGAGCGACGTGCATGTGAGTGCCGCCACCGATCGCTTCTGTCTCTGGGAGCACGACAAGCGGCCGGAGCGGCCCGCCGCATTACTGCAGTGGCTGGGG